TCATTATCCGCATCAACGCCTGCATCGCCGTCACCACCATCAACATCATCACCAGCAGCATCAACATCAACAACATCACCACAAGTTTTACGAGCATTGATATCGTATTCATGAACAGCGTGGGTGCGTTTTGGTCCGTCCTGGAGGCTTCCGAAGCGCCTCTTGGGACCCCCTTGGAAGGTAGTTGGGGCCGTATGTGGGTCATATTGAATGCGGGGTGGGGGCAGTATCATCATCACCATCATCACCATCATCATCATCATCATCATCATCATCATCATCATCATCACCGTCATCATCAACATCACCATCATCATCGTAGTCTATCCGATCACCGCAGCCATGAACATCAATGGTAAACATCGTCGTCGTGCTGTCGACCATATGTTCCCGGAGAGACCTCCTGGGAACGTTTGGCCTGCTGCGCATGTAAAACTCGGACGGGCCGACGGGAGTGACGGAGTCCAGCACACGGGCGGACGCGCGATCCTGGACGCTTGTGAAAACTGCGTGCCTGTGAAAATCTCTCAAGGCTCCCCATCGTTCTGCTTCGGGGCGTTTCGAGGAATGTCGTATTGATAGCGGTGATGATGATGACGTGACGTTGATGAGGATGAGGATGATGATGATTTGCTTAACATTATCGGGGCTCAGGGGGAAGAGCGATTCGGGAGATCTGGGGAGGGCCCTCTGCCTGCGTCGAGCGCGTACAAACGCCGCTGCGCGCTGCGCGCGCGTGCAAAGGCGGCCCAATCCGCCCCGCGCGGCGCGCGATCGGCGGGGCGCACCTCCGCCGACCAAAAATCGGCGAGCTCGGGACCACACGACGCAAACTCAATCAGTACCCAAAGTAGTCCACGCCTTCATGCGTCACGCACTTGGCAGAATCCGGGGTACGATTAACCTCCGTGCGAACGCTGTCCACGAGAGGGTGTTGTGGCACCACCTTGATGTCCACATAGGCCGTTGCCGCTCGAAATACCCTTCACGATCGCAAAGATGAGCGAAAGCGTCGACGAAGAGGCCAAGAGGCAATGCTGAAAAACACACGCACGCGCCCAAATCGATCGACCTGGTGCAAAACTGGCGACGCAACCTGCCAGGTTTCGGACATAGTCCACAGGCGGAAGGCCCCCGAGCGTTCTGAAGCCCGTTGTGGCCATAGACCAGTGAATACGCCCAAATCGACGGACGAGGGACAAAACTGTGGCGACGTGCCTACCAGTTCTGGACAAAGTCCACGGGCGGCAGGCCCCCTCGAGGGTTCCGGCGCTCACTGTAACTGCCCCTCAAGCCTGTCCGTCCACTCCTGAAGCTCCTCCTCCATGTAGCCAAGCAGTGCGGCACCCCGAAAATGGCGCCCTCCCAGCTGGCGAAACCCCGCCCAGCAGCGGAAACTTCCTGTCCCCCATGGGCTGGATGCCGAGGATCAATCAGCTTCACCTGGTCGTCCTGCGCCGTCTTCGCGATCCTGCAGACCCTGATGAGCTGTTCCGCGCCCGCTGCCTTCTTGCCTGCGTCGAGGTCCTCCACGGGCTTCTTGATGACCGTCATGGTGGCACCGCCCACCTCTGGAGTGCTCGCCAGCGCGTCCAGCATCGCCCCGGATAGGAGCGCGCGGGGTGGGCCGGGCGGTTGTGCGTCGGGGTTCTTCTACTTCCTTGCGGTGCTGGTCGGCCGTTCTGCGAGCGCCTCGTGCTCCTGCCTGGTCGCCGCGGTGATCTTGCGACTCTTCGGATATATGAACGCGTCGAGCAAAGCGCCCTCGATCGCCCTGACCTGCGGCGTGTTCTTGAGCGCCTGCTTGTGTAAAAGTAGCAGTAGCTCGCCTTGGCCTTTGTCCTTCACCTGGAGCTCCTTGGCCTTCTCGTCGCCCTGGTTGCGTCTCTTGCCTCCCCCCTGGTCCTCCGCGGGGCCGCCGCCGCTGCCGCCGCGCCCTTCTTGTTGTGATCGGCGGCGGACCCAGTGTTCCCAGACGCTGGCGAGGATGCCAGAGGGCGCCGCGACGCCTTCATCCTCAACACGAGCGGTGGCGAAGATCTGGGCCCTCGGCCTCGCTATGCGAGCGCCGCGCCCAGTGGGAGCTGGCGTCGGTGTTCCGGTGGTCAGCCTTGGCCTCTGCTTCGCAGGTCGCAGTGCCCATGGCCCGTTGGAAGAGTGGACAGGCTCGCACGCGGGAAAACCGATGGCGCCTAAACGCTTCCACTGAGCCAAACGCTAACGGTGGGCGCGACGGCTTCGAAATGCTCGGCGTCGGTCTCGGTGTTCTCGTTTTCTTGCGGAGTCGTTGTTTAGGAGGTTCTGGCGCTGGCCGTGCTGGCTCGATGTAAGACTCGCTCGGGATCGCGATCGCCTCGTCGGTCGCCCGTGTCGGAGTAGTTCTAGTGCGCGATGGCGCAGGCGACCGAAGTGCGGTGGCAGGTGTACTAGTCCGCGCTGGCGACGACGCGTGTCCGGCATCCCCAAGACATAGCCCTCGCTCGGCTTCAAGCTCGCCATGTACGGGCGGCCCAGGCCAGGGGGTCCAGGGATCAGGGGGGCCTCCGAAGAAAACGAGGTCGACGTGACGCGACATGTAGGATATGTCAGCGTGTCAGACGGCCTGTACAACCACATCTGGGCGGATTTAAACCGAGTGCAACGGCGTTCGGTCCAGCTCCTCAATGCGCGCCGAGAACAATGGTCCCGGCTTCTGAAGACAGCGTCGCAGACGAGGCACTTGTTGTCGACGACCACATGTTGAACACGCTGCGCATCTGGTGGCTCGGCTCCTCGCTGTGAGTATGGTGTGCGCGGCGGGCCGGGAGCGAGGTGAACGCGCGCCCACATGCCCCCCCGTTCTGCAGCTTGATCTCGCGCCTGGCGGTCGCGGCGCCCTCCGCGTCGGTGACCTCGAGCTCCGTGGAAAGTAATGCCTCCCATGCTGTACCTTGTGGGTGCCGCGCCCGAAAAAAAAAAGCCTGCGCGTAAAGTCCGCGGGTCCAAAGCCGCGCGCATGTCACGTTGTTCTTCGTCTCCAAACAATCGTCGCATACTTCTGGGTTGCCATTCATTGCGCAATCCGGTGGCCGAGTCCAGCGCGAGCAACGTGCTGATGCCGTCAGAGAGCTGCCGCGCCCACAGGTGGATAGGAGCGCCGTTGCCCTTCAAGATGATCAGGATGATGATGATGATGATGATTCTGACGGTGATGATGATGAGTATGAAGATGGTGCTGATCATCATCATCATCGTCGTCGTCGCCGCCACGGTCGCCGCCGTCGTCATCATTGCCACGATGCCATCATCATCCTCATCATCAACACCATCACACTCATGCTGGCCATGGTGGGCATCGCCATCACTGCCACCAACGCCATCATCGTCATAGCCATGTCATCATCATCATCATCATCCTTCGGGCGTTGGCAGAACTGGGTTTAGTAGAACCTGGTTTAGTGATGTGTACTGGGGGAAGCCCCCCCCGCCCCGTTCCACTAACCAGAACTGCGGTCACCCGAAAAACACCAGCTACGGCAGACCTGGTTTCGTGATTCTGGCCAATTTAGGGGCTCCGGGGCCCTGCTACTTACCCGGGTCCCCTTACCTGGGGTCCTGGCTATACCCGAATCATCATCAGCATCCTCATCATCATCATTGACATCCTCGTCATCATCATCATCATCAGCACCGTCATCGCCATCGTCATAACCATCTTCACCACGATGATTTAACGCGGCCAATATAAAGATACCCCAGAGCGATGCAGTGCGCAGCTTGCCACCATACTCAGCAGAAATCGATTGAAACTGCGCCCCAGGGAGGGCTGGGTCGGGAACAACAGAATTCTGCAGAGCGAGACAACGGGCGAGGCAAGTTGAGCTCCTGCTACCTTCCCCCTACTCGTCTCGCAATGCTGCCCCTCAGACAACATTACTGCGCGCGCACTCTCGCGACGATTTACCGCGGCCGAAAGAATGATATCCCAGAGCGATGCATTGCGCAGCTTGCCACCCGACTCCACAGACATCGATTGAAACTGCATCTCGATCCCCCGTTCCCCACCCAGAAGAAAGAGCCCCCGTCTTCCAGAATGTCTCGGCTTCGGATGGGTTGTGGAGGGAGGGGCCGTAGATTGCGGCCTGGAATTCGTTTGAGCGGAGACACCTGCCACATGATTCTGAGCCCATAACGATCTGAACGCATGCGCCACCGCAGAACACCTGCGGAGGGTAATGTTTTGCACGGTTGTCTTCCGGCCGGCCGTTTCTTTCCCGTCGATGTGTTCATGCAGCCTACCCGGGCGCAAACTCATACCTGCCTTGCCAGTGCACTTGCGATGCAAGAGCGAGTCGTCAAAATCTGAGGGCGTCAGGATGGGCATGCGCTTCCTGAACTCGGTCCCGAACTGGCACTGGTCAAAAACAGCGATGTTCGCATTCTTCGATTGCGGAGAAACTTCAAAAACAACGGCATGTCCCAGAGCATGGAAGAGGCGGGGTTTTCGATCACGAACCGGATGTTGCATCGAGGAGCCTGCCGACCGAGCTTGCAAGTCACTCTCCCATGCGCGTTACCTTCAAGACACCTGTTCGATCCTTTGCGGGTGGATCGAAAAATCCCCTGATACACACGGGAGAAAGGGCAGCGCTGGGCAGGGGGGAAGAAAGGGGGCCAGACTGGATGGGGGTGGGGCGCTTTCGGCTCCTTGCCGTGACCGCTGGCCCTCAATTCCTCTTCCTTCCCATCCTCCCGCCGCTCCCTCTTCCTATTCATATGCCATATGCGTGCTCCTCCTGATCCCCCTCGTCCCTCTCCTGGCCCTGTCTGAAGATCGAAACAATATTTTCGCGAAGGGGCACCCGCCCCGTGGCAGAGTGAACGCTCGGTGGGAAGTACTCAGCACGGCGGCATCGCACGAGTTCTCTGTATAGTGACAGAGCACGCTCTCGCCCCCTGCATGCTCCCCGAACCCCGCGCGCCACGCGGCCCCCGATGTCGGGCCCCGCACCGGCCCTGGCCTACTTCGAGCACAAAGCAGCGAAGAGGTCGGCCCCATGGCGCCTGGCGCGCCACGCCCACGCGTGGACGTACTCGGCGATGCGGTCGTGGTCGGCGCTTTTGATCGCGGACGGGAGCGCCGTCTTGACCTCGTCCCAGGTGCCGTCCGCCGCCTCCGTGCCGTGCTTAATCTTGGCCATGCGGACGTTGCCGTCCTTGTCCTGCACGCGCACGGCCTTCGCACCCGCCCACTCCTCCTTCTTGTGGCTCACCACGCCGTGCGACAAGGCCAGCCTGCGGTAGTGGGCGCGGAAGCGCTCCCGCCCGTGCCTTGGCCGCGACCTCAAGCATTGCTTGGCGGAGCCCGCTGCCCTCGCGCGCTCGAGGCAATCCTTGCGGTCGCAGCAGGGCGAACAGATCAAGTCGCCAGCGGCGAAGGCCTCGTAGCAGTCGGCGCCGTCGGCCAAGCAGATCGCACCGCGGCCGAGGTGTTTCCTGAGGGCCTCGTCGCGCTGGGCCCCGCTCAAGGGCGCGTCGCCGCCGCCAGCCATGCTCGTCTCCCAGGGGAGCTGGATGAGAACCATGTTGGCCCTGTTGCCGCGCTCGACCATGATGAGCCAACGGTTCCACAGCAAGCGGTAGCCAAGGCATTCAGGCTTGCACTTGTCGCACGGCTTCTTGCAGCTGACACGTTCGGCCCTGATGCCGCACTCGTCGAGCTCCACGAGCATGCCGCCCTTGAACTTGATGCGGGCCTGCTCCTCCAGGCTGAGCTGGGCCATGCGGCGGCGGACCTCGTCCAGGTACATTGCCGTGGAATCCTTCGAGATGCCTTGCACCACGGTGCAATCTCCGCGGCTCGGGTGGCGCGCAGCCCACGGCCTGCACGCCAAATGAACAGCGAGTAGCCCTTCTCCCGCGGGTGCTCTCCCGTTGCCGCCGAGAGATGGGGGCGCCCTCCTCGCTCTCGACCGCGATGCCCCTCTGGTTCCCGCTGCGCGTCCAATCGCCGCAGCGGTACCTGCACAGCGTCGGGACATCCACCTGGAGATATAACATAATACAACGCCCAACTAGCATGGATAACTGCCCCCCCACATACCCTGCCCGACAGCTTTGAAAGGGGCAAGGCATGTGGGGAGGGACGGTTGTCTGTGCTAGTTGAGCATGGCATTGCGTTATCTCGCGGGCGCCTGCACGTCGCCCACGTTCACGGATATTCCAGGAGAGCCCCTCCCGGCGAACACGTGGAGAGACAACTTAGTGCCGCATTCGTGCGGGCACTTCCTGCCCTCTATCCGCGGCAGGTACCCCAGCCCCACGCCAATCCGAACCCTGTGCACCACGTCAATGCCGCAGAGCCCTCTGATGTCGATGCGCTCCCCCTTGGCCTTGCAGGCGAGAGGCGCCGTCTCACCTTTGCCTGCGTTCTTGCCACTGTATCGGGGGCCTGGCAACTCCTTCGCCCTGGCCTTACCAAGCTTCGCTTTGGCTCCAGGCCCAAGCATCTTGCCAGACGAAGCGCAGGCAGACATCTTCACGTGCTTCTTGAAATGGGCTCCCCCTTTGGACGCTGTGCGCCTGGAGAGCGGGCGCTTGTTCGGCTTGGCGGCGGTCTTCATGGCGGCCTTTGGGGCGGGCTTCGCGACGGTCTTCATGGCGGACTTCATCGCCGACTTCGCCATGGGCCCTGGCGCCTGGCCACCGAGATGCGCGCGACGACTTTGACCCTCAAGTCTACACGACAAGAAGAAATAGGCATGCGCTGCGATGGTGTCGATACCGCGGCAATGATGCAATCCCCTTGGAACCCCGCATATGAGCTTTCTGGGCGATGGTTGGCTAGCGGCGAGCCGCGGAGGCAAGGGCGCATGGGTGCCTGCGCGCACGATGCCCATTCTTGCAACGTGCGCAGGTTCCAACCAATCGGCTCGAATGAATCTAAGGACGTGTATGCATCGAGAAGAAGACTATATATATATATATATATATATATATATATATATATGTCCACGGCTATGAAGCGCGCTAACGGCTCATCTGGGGCACCAGCGGCGCGCGCCCCCTCGGCGGCGCGCGCCCCGTCATTGCCCGAGCCGAAAGCGGCAACACTGCCCGCGCATGGGCACCCCACTCACAGAACACCTCACTCCTCCATGGCGCCGCCCTGGCCCGCGGCGTCCTCTGCCGCCTGATTGCGGGCTTCCTCCGCTAGCTGGCGCTCGCGTTCTTCCTCCAAGTCTAAGTGGCGCTCGAGCTCGGCCTGCAAGTCGAAGTCGTCGCCCGCCGTGTCAGGGCGCTGACGGGGAGGAGTGGTGAGGTCCATCTGCGTGCCAGAGTCAACCTGGTTCTGGTTGAAGAACGCCTGGTGGATCTGCTCGTAGATCGCGGCCTGCTCAGCCAAGTCCACGTCGCTGAGCTCGCCGCCGCGCCCGAAGGGAGCCCTGGCGCCCGTCGCCAGGCGCTTGCGGGGAGGCGACACGAGGTCCACCATCGCGTAGCTGTCCTTCTTGTTGCCCTCGAGGAGTTGATCCTGCATCGCGGCGTAGATCGCCTGCTGCTCCGCCGCACCCACGTTGCTCAGTTCGCCAGCGCACCATATGCCAGCGACCGCAGATGGCCCTGACAAGCCGCTCGAAGAAGCCGCGCCACTGCCTGAGCCGCCCACTGGCGGTGGCACGACCGCTGGCTGGACCCTGTGCACGGGCTGCCCGGAGAGCGAGGCACCGCGGGTGATCGACGCGGTGGGCACGTCCTCGCCACGCATCAGGCGCTTCGCGAAATTCAGAGACCACTCTGATTTCTCCTTGAAGTCGGTCGGGTAGTTGTTCGGCGAAGTTGGGTCGTCTTTGTACCTGCCGAAGCACGCGCGCGCCTCGGGCGAGTAATTGAAGAGGTCAGGCTTCGTCTTCTTGCTGTATGTGAAGAAGGGCACGACTCCGTCGTCTGGGAACTCACCGGATGCTAGGCGGAAATGCACGCGCGCGTCCGTGGTCACGACGACGTGGGTCCTCGCGAGCAAGGCTTTCAAGTCCTCTTCCTCTGTGACCTGCTTCAGGGAGGGCGCGATGGTATTCATGAGCTGCTTGAGCGGCATCTCCATTGCTTGCCGCTGGCGCCAAGCTGCCGCCAACATTTTCTCAAATGCATTACCGTAGCTGTTGTTCACGGCCTGGCGGGGCGCCCCCGGGGCGGTGCTGCGCCCCCACCTCGCCCGCAAGGTGGAGTCCTCCTCGCTCGGGTTATGGCGCGCCTTCAACGCGGGCGCGCCCTGCTTGCGCAAGTCCCCGTCGTCGAACGCCGCGGGCAGCACCCTCTCCACGTGCTCGCCCTCGAAGAAATCAAAGTGCTTGGCTGTGACAGTGGAAGGCTCGGGAGCGCCCTCCCCATCGTCGCCCTCAGGGGCGTCGGTCTCGAGCATTGACATCAAGAACGCAAGGGTCTTTGACGCAGTCGACTTCCCCACTCTGGTCTTGCCGATCCAGAGCACGCCGCTGCGGCGAGGCGTCGGCAGGATCTCCACGAGCACCTCGTTGATGAACCACGGCTCGAAGCCCTTCTGCGCGAGCACCCATGCAGTGAGGCGCTTGGCATTGACGCGCCCGCTCGCATGGTTCCGCAACGCCTGGATCACGCGGGGCCCCTCCCAACCGTCAATTTTCGACTGCGGGTCGTTGGCCTCCTGGGGGGGGGGGGGGGGGCGGGGAAACAACGGCTCCGCTTAGCTAGCCGCAACCGCTCGGCGGCCAAAACGCCTGCGCGACCGAGGGGGCGTCGGGGGAATGGGGGGGAGAGCAAAGGGGATAGCCAGATGGCACCGCTTTCCCCCGCCGAACCGCCCTTGTCCGCGAACTCAATGAACTGGTTGCGGTTGTTGCTCTTCGGGCCCTTCTTCTCGATGTACCGGTGCCCCTCGAGCTTCCTATCCCACTCGGTCGAGCGCGCGGCAAGCTTCGCCGCGGCTGTCAGCGCGGAGAAGCGAACCTGTAAGCCGCCAAGTTTCTCCAGGAGATAACAGATCGCATTGCGGCCTGCCCTGTACTGGTTCCCATACTGTTACACGACGCCTGTGCCATGACACATAGGCTCGCAGTTTGCCATCTTCAAGAACTGGCCCTTCAAGTCAACGTCTTTGAAGATGTGCACCTCACCCCCCCCCGCGCCGACGACGGAAATCTGCATGACGTATGGCCCGCCAGGTTGGCCCTTGAGGTTGAAAGGAAAAGGGGGGGGGGGGGGGGGGCGCTAAAATTGGACTTCGTCGCCAGGTCCTTGACAGCGTCCAAGCGGCACTGTTGCCCTTGTGCGTCCTTCCACCCCGTGAGGACACCGACTGCTGTCCCGTCGGGGCCCTGGGTCTCCTCGTAGTCCTGGTTCATCCACAGGCCCCCAAAGTAGGCGATCTTCGTGCCCGCGTGGACGTTCATGGGCGCAGCAGGAAGGTCCGCGAGTTTCGACGCCCCCTCTTGCCCGACGTGGCCGTGCGGGGGGCCAGCGTGGAAGTGGGGCGCAATGCCTTCGGCGTGTGCGAGAGCTTCGCCGAAGTTGATGCTCTCGCCCCCAACGGCGCCCCCAAGAGTCTCGCGGAGGGTCTTGGGGGGGATCGCGTTCTCCCTCGCCAAGCCATGAGGGCGCCATGGAGGAGCAATGAGGGAGCCATGAAGGATCCGTGAGGGAGCCAAGAGGGACCCATGAGGAAGCCATGAGGAAGCCATGAGGCATCCATGAGAGAGCCGTGAGGGAGCCACGAGGGGGCCATGAGGGAGCCACGAGGGAGCCATGAGGGATCCATGAGGGAGCCCTCATGGCTCCTTCATGTCTCCCTCATGGGAAGCTCATTGCTGGAATCAAGATATGGTCGGTGGCGGGGTGGGGCCCTCCCAAAATTGGACTACCCCCTGCCCTCAAGTCCTCGCCAGCAGCCAAACGCTGGGCCTGCGTGCGCCCCACCCTGCGCCACGCCGCGCCAGGCGGCAAGACGTGGCCAACGTGGCCAGGCATGCCGCGCGGCGCGAAAGCGTATTCGAAAGCCACTGGTAGAAGCCTACCGCGGAGATCTTTGAGGGGGTCTGAGCACCCTGCAGAGGCCTGAGCGCTAGTGGCAACGGGAGGCACCAGCAGCAACGCCATCATATGCGGTATGATTGCTGTCCATGCACGTTTCCGGTTGCGCAATAAATCAAGCGCAACTGAGATGTGGGTTTTCTGAAGGGGGGGGGGGGGGGGCGGGGCGGAGGTGGTGACCCATTTTTGGTGTTCCCTCATTCTCCTCCCTTGGACCCGCACATAAAAATCATTACTCCTCTGCCTCTCTCCTGCCCCCTGCCCCCCCCCTCTCTCGCCCTTCCGCGCCGCCCTTCTGGGTCCCTTTGCTGGGTCCCTTGCTGGGTCTCCTGGCTGGGTCTCCTCCTGGGTCCCCTGCTGGGCCCCTTCGCTGGGACCCCTCATGAGTCTCCGCGGGGGCATCCAAAAATGGATGCCCCTTGTACCGCAGAAGCGCTGTTGATTCTCACTGATTCTAGGTCGCCCAGCAGCGCTGAGCTCCCTCAAGGAGAGCGCCGTCGCGCTTGGAGCCCTTCCAGGGGGCGCCCAGCGGAACTGCGCTCCCTCAGGGGGAGCGTCGTCGCGCTTCGGGCCCTTCCCACAGGAGCAGGAGGAAGAGGGGGAAGGGGGGGGCAGCAACAGCAGCAGGAGGAGGGCACCTTTCCCGCAGATGGGGGCGGCTGGGAGCGGCTGGGGGAGCGCGCGCGCAGCATCGCTCCCCCCAATAAAAGCAAGGTTTCGCAAGGATTCGCCTCGCTGTCCGTATTTCCCCCAGAACATTGCATTTGTTTGTTGCGTTCTTCTGTGGTTTTCCCAATGGTCTCTTGCTTCCTGGAAAAGCCGAGAGAACAAAGGAAGGAGGGGGATGGGGGAGGAGCAGGGGGAGGAGGGGGGGGGGAGGGGGGGGGGAGGAGAGAGGATGAGGTAAGAGAAAGGCTTGATGGATAACATATGTAAATCGCGGGGGTCCGAAACCGAACTGGAGCCGAAAGGGCCCCACCCCCATCCAGTCTGGAGCTAGAAGAACGCGGAGCTCTTCTAGCTATACCGAATGAGCGACACGGCGCAGCCATGAATATTCCTTGCGCCCTGCCCACACCCATCACTTTCAGCAACGATGGCACCGCGCCGAGCGAGAAGATGTCCGTGCCCAGGTCGAGCTCGATCTCTAGCGACGAGATGCCGCGCCGCGCAACGGCCTTGCCGATCCCCGCGGCGCCTGCAAAGACATCCAGGGAGACGTCGCCTCGCCCCAGCCAGGCGGTCGGAACGCGCAGACCCCGTCGAGGAGGATGTCGCCAAGTTGCTCGCAGCAGTGCCTGAGGTAGTCCTGGGCGTCGGGGGGCAGCTCCACCAATTGGGCTTTGATTTTGCTGGACTTCTCACGCCTGATGAGTGAGCTGACGCTGGCCCAACGCCCGCGCCGTTGCACCTCCAGCTGCGATCCCCCGTTGGCGATCACGTCCCAGGAAGGGCCCGCGTGGCGAAGGCTGCAAGGCGCGATGCCGACCGTCTCGAGGTGGCAGACTCTCGCGGCCTTCGCTATCAGGTTGCCGAGCTCCATCTGCGAGAACGACCACAGCGGGTCCTTCGGCAGCTTGCCTCTGCGGTACTGCTCGAAGAAGGCCCGGGAACTGCAGGT